GAGCCGAGCAATTCTTAAACCAGTATCATAATCCCTTAAGCGGGTGCTCCTTGCAAGATGGAGAGCACGGGGAAAATGGGGAAAAGTGTATACCCCAACTAGTAGCGGGTGGGCCGGGAAGTTTCCAGCTTGGGCCTGCTTCGTCTGCCAGTGCCTCATTCCTCCAGGCGGTGGCGCTTCGGCAGCCCGCGACTTCTACGATGTCGGGAGCCTAAATGCGCGCCTGGCCACAGAGCAGGGTGGTCAGGGGCCCAGTGCCGGGCAGGAGGCCTGCGCCAGACTGCCGGGGTGGGGGCGTCTATCTATATCTACATCTATGTCTGTGTATATATATATATATATACATACACAAATACTACAAAATACGTTATATGATACTTGAGGCCGAAACTAGTATCAAAACAAGTGCAGGTCGATGTTGGTTGGCACGGTCGGGTCAAGAAGAGCCGTGAACAGGGTAACCCTTCGCAGTAAGCCCTTGTAGTAATCCTTATTATAGTCACCCTGACAGTACTCCTTACATGATCCCCCTAAGCCCTAAACCCTAAACCCTAGACCCTCCCCGGTTCGTTTGCAGGTAGCTCCCTGGGCTCACAGCGCCCGTCGGGCGCTGGCGTCGGCTCTGCCCTCGCCTGCGCCTGCAGCGGCGGCAGCGGCGCAGCTGGCGGCCTGGTGTGAGGTGGGGTTTAGGGTTTAGGGCTTAGGGGGCCCGACTCACAGGATCAGTTCAGCAGGGACTTGGTGCAAGCTACTTGGGTGCTTGAAACCACTCAGGAGCTTTCCTGTCGTAGTCTGGCCCAAGATGACCTCCGCACCCAAGCACCCCATGGCGATGAGCCTCCAAAAGTCTGTGGCGCTGCGGCGCCTTCGCGCCGACTGGCAGGAACTGCAGGAGCATCCCCTGCGTGGGATCGCAGCAGCACCACTCGCAGAGAATCTGCAAGAGTGGCATGCCAACCTCACCCCGGAGCATGGCCACTATGCAGGGCTGCTGCTGCATGTGGTCCTGACGTTCCCGGACAACTACCCGACGGATCCTCCCAAGGTGAGCCTCCGCACCAACATCCCCCACTCTAACGTCATCCCAGCCGTGGGCCAAGAGAAGAACTTCATTTGCATCGACATGCTGAAGAACTTCTTCTGGATGGGCGGCGAGGACAGTAGCAGACCCTACGAGGGATGGAGCACAGCCTACAGCGTCTCATCCATCCTCTTACAGGTGCAGTGCTTCCTCTTCGATGAGTGGGCACAGAACTACGACGGGCGCTACAAGCACACCCTGTGGGATGCTGTCATTGAGGAGGGCGGCCACCGAAGGACTGCAGAGGAGGTGCGTCGGCGCCTCCAGCGTGCGCAAGAGGAGGCCGTGGCCTTGACCTGCAGCTGTGGGCACTGTGGGACCAAGCCGTGGCCCGAACTCGAAGTTCGCATGGTCAGGGTTCCTGGCATCCATTTAGTGGGGGACACTCCGGCAGCGCACGGTGTCACCTTCCGCATCGACCGTGTCCTCGCAGACGGCAAGATGGAGGTGACGCTGGAGGGCGGCAAATCTCTCACCGTCACGTCCTCGCACTTTGCACCGGGCCCCTTTCCTTGGAGCCACGCGCCACCGAGAAGCCATACCGTCGCCGCCTCACAAGCCTCTCAAGCCCTGGCCAAGAAGCCGATCGAATGTCAGCTGGAGTCCCTGGAGGCAGAAAGCTCGGCTTGCACCACGGTGCTGGAGTCCAGCGCCGAGACGGTTCGAAGCAGCAGCAGCGTGAGCTCCCTCTTCCTGCCCTCCCGGGACCTGCCGCTTGGAAGAAGGAGGGAGCCCTTGCAAAAGCTCGAAGTTGGCAGGGAGGTGCAGGGCCGGGTGGTGCGGCACCTGGACATCGGCTTTTTTCTGGACATCGGCTGCACTTGCCAAGGCCTCCTCCGCCGACGCCAGGCCCGGGGACTCGAGCTGAAGCTCGGCGACTGCGTGAAGGCTTTCGTGGCCTCCACAGAGCCAGAGAAGTGGCGACTGGATTTGGCACTCAGGCGGCCGGCTTCCCAGGTAGAGCTCGATTCCTGGCAGGAGGCCGGCACTGAAGTGACTGGCGTGGTGGTGGGCATCCAGGCCTACGGCATCTTCGTGGACATCGGGGCAGCAGAAACGGGTTTGGTGCACGTCTCTCGGCTGGGCTCCCTCAACATCTCAGAGACCCAGCTCGGAAACGAGGTGTCGGTGCAGATCCTTGCGCAGCAGCCCAAGCTGCAGTTGGCAGGGCCCGAGCTGCAGGCTTTCGTGGTGCCGGTGCAGGTACTGCCCCGGCCAGAGGCCCAAACTGCGAGGGACGAACCGCGGCTCCCAGGCAGCCTCGCCGCCCTGCCAAAGCCGCTCTTCGCGAGAGTGCTGCTGCAGGGCCTGAACTTGGCAGACTTGGGTCACTTGACTCATGCATCAAGATCCTTGCGAGCCATGTCAGAAGAGGCTTCGAACATCTTCTGGGACCTTCGCAGCCTCTGCTGCTTCCATACCCGCAGCCGCTTCGATGAAGACGACTGCATCCTGGGTGTGGGGGTTGCCATCGCTGAGGAGGATGGCCGGAATCACCTCACCTGCGATTTTGATCCGATCTCGAAGCTAGCTTTCCATCAACTCGGTGTTCGCAAAGGCGTGTGGAGAAATAAGATCTCATACTGGCTACCTGTGGCCATCGACGCCCATCATTTCCATCGGGCGACACCTTCTTTGAGCAAAGTCCTCCAGGTGCTAGGCACTGGGAAGGTGGCGGAGCAGACGCGGTCCTTTGGGAGGAAGCCGGGGCGCTTTGAGCCCCCTGAGTCCAGCGTCCCAGTTCTCAGCTTTGACGAGTGGCTGGAATCCAGGGCCAAGAAGTCTGAAGCAGCGAAACTACGGCCTTTTTGAACATAGGCTTAGGTTGTAACTGGTTTCGTAGGCTTTCCAGACGGGCGGCGTTACACTCATAGTCACGCAGCTACATCGTTTTTGAAGGGCCTCAGAAAACAGCCTAGGAAAGCCAAGTTCGAAGCTTTCCGCGCCGGGACGCTGGAGGAGAAGGTTCCGGAGAAGGTTCCAGAGAAGGTGCCAGTTCCGCCTAAGCCCAGCTTCGACGCAGCGGTGGTGCTTGACGTGCTTCCTAAGCTAATGAACTCCCAAGTGGTCCTCCTGATGAAGGGTGAGACTTGGGCATCGCACAAGGCGCTTAGTGGGTACATGGGCTTCCACCATCTCTTGCTTTCCATCTGCCGCGATGAGCCAGCGGTGCAGGCGGAGCTGGAGAAGCGCATCGAGAATTTCATGGTGGCGGAGGAGGAAAGGGTGAAGTCCAAGGTCCCGAACTTGGGGGAGTTCATCTGCTTGATTGCGGCGTCTACTAGGCACGATTGGCCCTCCGTTGCAGGCCCTCTTCTTGCAGAGGTCTTCGACAGAAACGTCCTGTGGCTCCTGAAGAAGTACCCACATTTGGGCCAGCTCAGTGATGTGGGCGTCAGCAAAGAGCGCCTGCGGGCGACTTTCGAAGCAGCTCTGGTCTCCATGCGGCTGATCATGTTCAATGCCTGGTTCCTGAACAACGTGGCGAAGCCTCCTGGCGAGGAAGCGGCTCCACTGCTCCGCTACGAGCGGACAAAAGGGGTAGCACCGAAGCACCAGATCGAAGCTGTGCACAGGGCAGTGCGGAGAATCTGCGAGGTCAACACCTGGGAGGCCTACTTCGATTCCCTTGGCGTCAAGCGCATCGCTCCCTTGCAGCTGTGCTGCTGGCTGCGGCAGAGCGTGCTGAATTCTTCCCGGAAGGGCTATCACAGGCCAGGCAGGTTTCAAAACCGCGCCAGGCCTGTCAGGAATGATTCAGCCTGGGATGCTTACGACCAGATGGCTGACGCTTGGGATTGAGGCTCCTTGAGCAATTTTGTTTGTTCGCACTTATCCTTCGTCGCCGGCCCTTGATGGCCTCTGAATGAACCCGGCGGCCATGTGTACAGCTGTGTACAGTGTATAGAGATTAAGACTATGACAGTCCGGGCATGAAGTGATGAGTTTCCTGGTGGCGAAGAGGACAGAGATGCGGAATCGGACTTCGAGGTAAACGCCGGCAGCCCCTCACCACGATGCATGCATTTTCATGCGCTCTGTCCAGGTTGTGACGAAGGTACCAGAGGTCCCGTGGAGTATCTAAGCCCAAGAGCCTTCCTTGGTACTCAGCACCTTCGACTCCTGCACACCGCTTCGCGGTGGTCGGTGCAGCTAAAGCCCCACCTGAAAGCAACAGCAGTAGCCCCAAGCCCTAAGTTGTATTCCCTAAGCCCAGAACCGCAAGTAGTCTCACGACCTGCCCTAAGCCCTATAAACCCTCACAGACTGAAGAGCCAGGCCGATCTGGTGGCTCGGACGCAGTGCCCGGGTCTTTGGGCAACATCTCGGGATTCTGCACCTGACTGTTGGGTTTGGGGTTTGAGGCGCAGGGCTTGGAGTTCAGGGTTTAACGAGGTAGGTTGGCATCACAGTGGCGAAGGATGTCGAAAGTAGGTTCATGTTCCGGTCGCGGTGAAAACAACTCAGATAGAATTGAACTTATTAATATGAGTGTGCTCAGGGGCGTCCTCGGTACGGTGGCGGCTAATAATAAACAGCCTTTGCAGCCTCGGCGAAGGATGAGACACGAGGACCTGGACCTAAACCTTCTAAAGCCTTGAGCCGACACCTTGCGATGCATCACACCCCTTTCATTCCTGTGGCCACCCCCGGTTGGTGAAGGCCATGCCAGGGCAGCGAGGGTCCTGGCTGCGGCGAGCGTTGGCATTCCTGCAAGATCTGCAGCAGATTGTGTCTGCGAAAAAGCGGTGCAGCATTATTTGGCATGGCCGTGTTTCCCGATTATTGCTCGACATTCCATATGGCGGACCTGCCTCCGTTCCTCTCATGCCGAGACCTCTAAGTTTAATTGGGTAAAATTTCGGGTCTTCTCGGATACAGGCTGAATGAAGTTGAAAGCTTTAGCAAGCGGCCGCAGGACAAGCTGGGAACGCTTCGGAAAGTGGCCAAGGACCGGTTTACCTGATTGATTGCATCTGCTGCCTACAGCCTCATTCTTAAAGCTTACGCGTTTAGTGATGCAATCGTTTGTCCTTCGATGTGCCAGTTCCTGAGAGCAGTTGTGCAAAAGCACGGCGAAGCGCGAGGGCTTTACTGTCATAGGTGAGCAAGCCATGCCCCCCGCGTGATTCCACAGCCCTACCTGCCCTAACTCTTGATTCCGAACAAACCCTTATGGGCAGACGGAAAACGGCGCTGAACCGCAAAACTCAGAAATTCCAGTGACAACCGAAAAGCATGAGCCTTGAGCCGAGCCAAGCTGTGATCAGCTTCGCGGAGATCGGTAGGGTTTAGGGTTCCTTTAAAAGGATCTACAAGGGTTCTATAACGTTCAGGGTTTAGGGTGTAGGGTTTAGGGAAATGTCGGGTGTAGAGGTCCTTACTTGCCTCACCTACCAGGTCTTTGGGAACGGATATTCTCATGAGCTAGCCAACCCTAAACCCTAAACTCTAAACCCTAAACCCTAACCTAAGCCCCAAGACCCTTAAATCTTCAAGGCCAGGACCTTTAAGCCTCTAAACCCCTAACCGTCTCTGAACCCCTAACCCGTCGACGAGCAAAGCCTCACATCTGAAACAATGGTCCGAAAAGTGTCATGCCCTTTTAGGACCCGGAGCTTGCGTCGGTAAAGCTCCATCTCGCTTCATGGGGTCGGGGGCTGAACGGGCCGAAGGGGTCGGGGCTTTCGGGCGTTCGAGGCTTCACCCTGCTTCATTCAGTGCCTCGGATCCCCTTTCAGGATTCCGTTTATAAAGGGTTCTGTGAGGGGTGCCCAACTGCCGGGTTGCATGCCTTCCCAAGCTCTTCCCCCATGTCTTGTAATGTCAACCTCATATAAACAATCCGCCCTCGATTGATTGCAGGGCCAGGTCGGTGGGATAGTGCTATTCAGAGGGCGGTCTGTCGTCGTAGTATAGTACTACACTAGTACAGTAGTACAGCATAGTACAGCAATACAGTATTACAATAGTACAGCAGTAGAGTATGAGCACAAGTAGTACAATAGTTCAGTAAGGGGCAAGGAGCACCTGGATGAGCGAACATGCGCCGACGACGCACAGCTGCAGGATCGCAACAGTCGGAAGGCACCTTCCAGTCGCAAACTTCACAGACCCAACCAGCGGCGGGACTAAACAAACGGACCATAGAGGAACCAGCCTCACAAAGGGGACTACATTGCACCCTAAATCGATACATGAGCCCACGATCATGAAAGATTTGGCGTCGCTCTGACAACGGAAGCACCTCAGCATCAAGATCAACTCTGCAACGCGGTTCAGCCGTGGTAACGAAACCCAACTTGGTGAAAACACGAGCACATTTAGCGCAAGTCCACTTCTGCAAGAAACGCTTAGGGGAAGGCAACCATAGCAGGGCAGCTCAATTTGCAGACTCGTTCCGTCTGATAGCGACGAAACTTGCAGCAGAGCTACGAAGTGTTCGAGCTCGCGACACTTTGCGCTACCCCTCAAAGGCGGCTCCGAACCCTCGGCGCTCAAGCAAAGATTCGGCAGCACACCGCGGATGTGCGTGCGCCGTGCCTCACGGTGCTCGGCCTTCCAACTTGGCCAATCACACAGCTTGATCTGTCAGGACGGACAAAGACGATCATTAGACCCCAAAGGAATGTTGCAGCCAGATGACAGTAGAGCGACCAGGAATTGACGGGCCTTCCATCAGGATCACCAGGACGACACTGATCCCACAAGCGAACGAAAAGGCCGGAACGCAACAAGCCGCAAAGGGACAATTGCCCCTACCAGCAGTCGCAACAGCAGAAAGCCCCGGAGAGGCGAGGTTGGCAGAATTTCTACGGACTCCCTTGAGTGCCACGCGTCACTCCAGGCTTCCGCTTTTTGGAATGTGTTCACACCAGGAAAACGAAAGCAAGCGTTAGAAGCCAAACCCTTCATTGGGAAAGCTTTGGATTCAAAAGGACAGCAAGCCTTAAAAGCCAAACTCTTGATTGGCAAAGCTTTGCTTTACAAGCCACGGGACTCCAAAACCGTAGAGTTAGAGGGTCTCAGAAACATGAGTTCCTTAATTCAATTCCTTATTCCGGCAGCAAAAAAATCAATCCATCCTGATGGAGTACTAACAAAAACCGCTCTCCTGAATTATAAGCCCCCCTCAATTATAAACTCGTCCCGGAGGGCCTTCTGGTGGTGCCTGCAAAATCCAGGAACAAGAAAGCAAGCTTGAGAAGCCGAGCCTTTGCTTGGGAAAGCTTTGGATTCAAAAGGGCAGCAAGCTTTAGAAGCCAAGCCATTGATTGGGAAAGCTTTGTATTCAAGTAACACGCCACATTGCCGAAGTGGCAGTCCTGCCCAGTCAGGAGGGCTGTGGTTGTGGTGGAATGGACCCGCGTGCATGTAGGACTACAGTTAAGGTCTTAGAGTGAAAAAAACTGCCCATACAGTATCAGGCGATCACTGCAGGAACAAGCCAACAACGGCGGGGCCGGTTCGGATCGAGGTCTTTCGGCACAAGCCTTTGTTCGCACTTCCTACAACCACCCCTGATCGATTCATCATGGCGGAGGCCGAGGCCGTGTACCGCTACGAGTCCGGAAACATCGCACATGCTCCCAAGAAGGATTACGGTCCTTTAGACTTCACTGGAAAGCTGGCGGGGGGCCTGCGACTTGACATCCGCAGGCGAGCACCGCTGTACTGCAGTGATTGGACGGATGCCTTCACACCGGAGAACTTCCAGAAATCGGTATCGTCCATCTTGTATCTGTTCCTTCGTCTTGCAGAATGCAGACCTCTTTTGAGTTCTTGTATTCTTCTAAAGTGCTGTTATTGAGGAAGTGTAGTGTCTCTCCTTGGCCAATGTGGCAGTAAGGTTCATCGCAGCCCTTGCCCCTGCGATTACGTTCGGCAGTCGGTTCCTTGACGGCACGAACGGCCAGTTCGGAGTGATGGAAATGATCATGAGCACATGTATCAGCGGTTTGATCTTCTCGACATTTTCCGGTCAGCCCCTTTCGATTTTGGGAGCTACCGGTCCGTTCTTGGCCTATACGCTTGTCGTGTATGACCTGGCAGTCGCCGTGGACGTGGAGTTCATGCCGTTCTATTTCTGGACATGCATGTGGTGCTCTTTCTTCACCGTCCTGGTGGCGGTCTTCGACTTGTGTGCTCTCATGAAGCACGTGACTATGTTCAGCGAAGACATCTTCGCTGGATTCTAGGTTTAAGGTTGTTCAGTGATAATTTATTGTTGTAGTTTTTCGTTTGTTTCTGGGTT